GCCTAGTGAGGGGTGCTCTCTCCCTCTGCTATTCCCCCACTTGTGCTCTCTCTCTGTCAAATAAAATAAAATAAAAATCTTAAAAAATAAATAAAGGGTCTGGTGAGGAGAAATAGGAAGGATGCCTCAGGCTGAGGGAATGGCATCAGCAAAACCGTGCAAGGGTGTATAAAGTGTGGTGTGTTAGGGGGAACTAGAAGAATTTGGTTGCCAAATGCAAGCACTTAGCAGAGTCCCTGACACATGGTAAACCCTTGAATGTCAGTTTAAAAAAATGGGAGTATAGAGTATGAAGTGATAGAGAAGAGTCTGAAGCAGTTCGTGGGTGTTGATGGTAGATGGATGTCAGTGGTAATACACACTTGGAACTTGTTTGTGCACTTAACTACATGCCAGGTGCACATGGTGAGTGTTAGTTTAGTTAATCCTCACAGAGCCTTATGAGGTTGATATTATTTGTATTTTCTAATGAGGAAATCATGGTTCGGAGAAGTTAAATAAACTTGCTCAAGGTCACACAGCTTGTATAGGATAAAACTGAGATTTGAAACCCATGAGTAAGGTTCTAGAACCCATCTCCTTTTATTTTATTTTTTTTAAGATTTTATTTATTTATTCGACAGAGATACAGCAAGAGAAGGAACACAAGCAGGGGGAATGGGAGAGGGAGAAGCAGACTCCCCACGGAGCAGGGAGCCCAATGCGGGGCTCAATCCCAGGACTCTCGGATCATGACCTGAGCCGAAGGCAGATACTTAACGACTGAGCCACCCAGGCACCCCACCCACCCACCTTGTCAGTTTCTGTGGCCCCTTGTCTCCCACTTCATTCGTCCAGTTCCTTCATGGCTTACCTGGAACATCCATACCTCCTACCCCTCCATCCTGGGGACACACACAAGTTTCTCCTCTGGGTTCGGGCTGCCATTGTGGCTCATTGTGGAAAAGGCCTGTCAGGTGAGACAGCCAGGTTCGCTGTGTGCTCCCTGTGCTTTTGGCTCTTGAAGTGCAGTATCTGAGGCGTTTGTTTTTAATCATAATAGTTCACATCTTTTCTTTCCATGCTGATCAGCAGGAGCCAGCTGGGGGTGGTAGCAAATCTTCTTTAATTTCCACTGTGATGGATTATTGCTTCACTTAAAATGGTGTTTAACTTGTACATGTTCCCTGAGGTTTTTAAATATCGGGCTCCTTTGATTATTGTTGGAAATCAATTTGGACTCCACAGTATGTTGGACTCCACGAGTTGGACTCATGAAGCCCCATGGAGTCTATGTGGCCCCATTACAAGTACCGAAGTCCAAAAATCAAAATGTGGTGACTTCTGCAGCCCCATATCCTTCATTCCTTCTTTAAAGAAAAAAAACTCAGGGTTACCTGGGTGGTTCAGTTGGTCAAGCATCTGACTTCTTCTGGCTCAGGTCATGCTCTCAGGGCCTGCTCAGCAGGGAGCCTGCTTGTCCCTCACCCTCTTCCCCTCCCCATGCTCATGCTCTCTTGCTCTCTTTCTCGCTCTCAAATAAATAAATAAATTAAATAAAAAGGGACGCCTGGGTGGCTCAGTCGGTTAAGTGTCTGCCTTCACCTCGGGTCATGATCCCAGGACTATCCCACATCCCAGGACTATCCCTGAGCTCCTTGCTCAGCAGGAAGCCTGCCTTTCCCTCTGCCCCTTCCCCTGCATGTGCTCTCTCTTTCTCTCTTTCTGACAAATAAATAAAATCTTTAAAAATAAAAATAAAATCTTTTTAAAAATTTTAAAAAATAAAGATTAAATCCATCTATTTTACCTTCCTAAGAACTGACTCAAAGAAGCAGCTTTTAAAATTTTCCCTTAGGAGGGAAGAAGACAGCAACAGGTGATTATTTTTCGGACCTAGCTGTCACCTCTTTTCTGTGACAGCCTACTCTCTGTTCTCAGGCACAACGATCCTCTCTTGATTCTGCTTCAGCTTGCTTTCAACTGACTCCTCTCTCCCAGCTTGCCCTGTTGTGGTTGGACAAGATGCATATTTCAACAAGCCACTTTTTCTTTCCTTGCTTCTCGGGGAGGGAGTCCCGTTTTGGTTGCCTGTGAATTCCTGTGAGAGAGGGAGAGGAGCAGAGTGACCCTGTTACAGCAGAGTCTCATGCCGGCGGGCTAGGCTCTCCGGGGTTTCTCTAGCACCGAGCAGCCTGGGATGTTGCTTATGGGGTCGATTCTTCTCTTATCTTTTAAGTTCAGAGCTGTGATGTGTGATGAATGTGTGCATGGGTATGTGTTTGTGTGTGACATGTTCACATTTAGTACAGACCATAAATGCTTATTCCTCAGAAGGTAGCTTTGAACAAGTTTTGGAATTCAGATTTGAAGCTGAGCATAACCAGAAACCCCTGCCTGCAAACTTTTTTTTTTTTTTTTTTTTTTGGTTTCCTACAGAAGAGAAGTGAGAGAAGAAATAATTCTACTCTGGGGAAATGCATAATTTAGAAGCTGTCTGCATGTATAAGAAAACAGACTCTGGCTGCTCTGTAAACCCAGACTGGCAGCCAGGGCTCGTTGTTTCCTTTTCTTCCTTCAGTGTTTGTATAACACTGATGGGACCCGTACTCCGAGTGCTCCCCACTGGGCAGTGAAGGCTGTGGACTTCAGAAGCTGGCCTGGGGCAAGCCTCTAGCTCATTTCCCTGCCTGTCTTTCCTATTCCTTACCCTGACCACCCCTTCCTTTCCTGGAGATACTGCCCTTCCTGAGAGCAAAACAGGGGTATTGGAAAGTTCAAGGGTGTTTCAGGAAACCTCAGGCAGGGTTCTTGGCTCTTTCTACCACCTCTAACAGCTCAACACCCGACACCATTGATCTACCATGGGCTTTTGTTTTGACCACACTCACCTTACCTTCTGTCAGAGGATGTCGTGGGTGAGAAGGAGGGGCTCTGGATCCAAGGGGTCATGTGTCTTGCTTGTTCATCCCCTGTTATGGCCAAGCCTAACTCCGAGGCAAAGCTGGGGAAACCAGTTCTCACTTCCATATTCTTCCAAGTATTTCTATAATGTTCAGTGTCACCTGATTCCACATTTTCAAAAATAGTGGTGGGTAGACCAAGCAGAGAAGACTCTATGCTTGGGCCCTTGTAGATCTGAATTCCTTCTACAGTTGGACGTCTCATGTGTAATTGGTCACCCTGAACGTGGAGCCCTGCATGGTTCAGGACCGCACAAGGGACATGCCAGGTGAAAGTAGTGACCACTGTTGTACTTCAGCCTAGTGCTGGGCAATGCGGTTGGCCACTCAGGAGGATGTACAGAGTGCCAGGGGTATAGTGACTTTCAGTGACTGCTGTGGTGGGAAGGATGTCAGGGAGGAGGACAGCATCCCTTTGGAAAGATTTGGTTAGTAAGGTTTAGAGGAAAAAGAGAACTATGACTTACAGCTTTCTCTAAACATCCAGATGGATCCCAGACATAATCCCGCAAAGATCTGATTTTATTTGTCTTCCTCCCACATCTCTCTAAATAATTTTATCTTCAAAGCATAATGCAGGGGGGGGGCACCTGAGTGGCTCAGTCGGTTAAGCATCTGCCTTCGGCTCAGGTCATGATCCCAGGGTCCTGGGATAGAGCCCCATATCAGGCCCCCTGCTCAGCGGGAAGCCTGCTTCTCCCTCTCCCACTCCCTCTGTTTGTGTTTCCCTCTCTTGCTGTGTCTCTCTCTGTCAAATAAATAAAATCTTAAAAAAAAAAAAAAGGCATGATGCAGGCATTAATTAACACTGTGACTCTCCTGGGAGGTAGGCAAGTGGGAACACCACCCCTATTAGTGAAGCGCAGGTCATAGGTAGGTCCAGAAGCTTCAGTCAGGGGAGCCAGAGAAGCAGAGTGTGCATTGGACCTTGGGGCTTTGCCCTCAGACCTTTACTTGGACATAACCCGGAAACCACCCACTTTCTCAGTGTCCTTGGTTCCCAGTAGAATAAAATTGCTGAGGCAATGGTAGGAGAGATGTTTGGTGCTGTGGGATGACTAATGGAAACTTTGAGGGTTGAGGAGAAATTCTGGTAAAATTTACTGTCATTGTGAATTTTAGATGCAGCAGTCTGATTATGCCATTTGTTTCATTCATTTGCTTGCTTGCTTTTCAAACAGAAAAGTACTGAGCATCTATTTCTGGGCAAGGTATGGCAAAGGAAATCATTTCTCTCAAAAGAGCTGGCTAGCTTTGAGGGACCCTGCTGGTTGGGAACTTGATCCTTTGTATCATGCTTAGCCCCAAGCAAAGGGTGGTGTGGGGTTTGTTGCCTCTGTAGGTGGTGGGTTGTTTTTTGTTTTTTGTTTCAGATTATATTTGTTAGGGGGTGCGCAAGAGAGAGAGCAGGGGTGGGGCAGAGGGAGAAGCCGACTCCCCGCGGAGCAGAGAGCCCGATGTGGGGCTCCATCCCAGGACCCTGGGATCGTGACCTGAGCCGAAGGCAGCTGCTTAACCGACTGAGCCACCTAGGCGCCCCTCTAGGTGGTGGGTTTAAGTGTTGGAAGACTCCTGGCATCCGGAGATGGATGAGAAATACATACATGACTGTTGCTATAGTGACTTTGTGGAGGCTGAATGTTTCCTCCTCATTTAGCCCTTTATCTTGGTTGGCTCAGAAGAAGAGGCCCCTTAGGAGCCTTCTCCCTGGGGCTACAGGTGGTGCATCCTTAATCCTGGCCTCTTCTAGGGTTCCCTGAGAATGGTGATCATGCCAGTTTCTGAATGTTGGTGGAGGGTGCCTAAGGTAACTGCTGAGAACCCTGGGTGGATACTGAACCTCCAGCTCTGGAAAAGCATCAACACTGGGATCTCCAGTAGTTTCTTTCTCATAATTGGGCGTCTTGGCAATGATGGTAAGAAACAGAGAAGGGGTCATTTCTTCCTGTAAATACTGCCCTCTCTCTTGGGTGGCTGTTGGACTTGACTTGCTTTGCAGGAAGCCCTGTTCCATCAGCTAATGATATTCCCCTTATCTTGGCACTGCAGGCTGCTGAGAACCAGCCCTCGACCTCTGCTTGAGGGTCCTTCCTCTGAAGACATCACCAGTGTGTGGAGCCTGCCCCACACCCACCCCCTGCCAAACCACGGCCTTTACCTGTGTCTTCCGGTGTTTCCCGTGCGACCCATCCTGTGGGAGTGCCTCGTGGGCCGCTCCAGAGTTCACCCCACGCTCAGCGGCGCCAATGGTGAAGATGACAAGATCCAAGACTTTCCAGGCATATCTGCCCTCCTGCCACAGAACCTACAGCTGCATTCACTGCAGAGCCCACTTGGCCAATCATGATGAACTCATTTCCAAGGTACATTTCCCTGTAGGCCTTCCTTGCCCTCCTCTGGGGTTGGGGGACACTTCTGGCTCATAAGGTTGCACAGGCTTATTAGCTCTTCCGAAGAAACCGAGATATTTGTACTTTATTTTTTTGTCCAGGGAGGGCTAACTTGTGTGGCTGTTTCACTCAATTGAGGGATAACTCTTGAGTTGGAGGGAGGGTGTACTAGTTTTAATTTGTAATTTTGGAAATTAGATGTCATCCCTGTTGGAGGCTGGAGGGCTGGTGGCTCGCAGGCCAGAGGGGAGAGGGGCTGAGGAGTGACTGGAACCTCTCACTTGGCAGGCTTAGCTCAAGTTGGTGGGTGAACGCCATGGAGAGTGCTGCCTGCCTGGAAAGAGAACTCTAGGAAAGGTGGTAGGGGCAGGATATCTTGTAGGAGGGCCTTCTTAGCTGAGATGAGAGGATGTTGCCTTGCAAGCTCCCTGGGAAGATTATCAGACTGTTGAGCTACTAAAATGGGTGGCTTTTGGCAGGAACCAAAAGTGGCTTGGCAAAGAGATGACCCACTGGCCTCAGGACCTTTAGGGCTTCTGCATGAGGTAAAATATGGTGTGACACTTGATCATAATCAGAAGAAAGAGTGGAACCCTATTTTCCCTGAAAAGCTTTAGCAACTGCTTCCTAAAGTTGGGTTGGGGAGATTGTTAACCAATAAACCCAACATCCCAGTTGTGCAGTCCAGGAACTGGCTCCTTCAGGCAGCATTTTTAGGGGAGCTCCCTCCCTCCTGGCTCTAAATTCCCAGGGGAGGAGAAACGGGATTTACTAGGCTACATGAAAAGGAGAAAGCGATCACGGGGACCTTTTGCCTTTAAAAAGAATCCCTAGACTTCGTGCCATTAAAATAAAAAAAAACCCTTTATACATACCCAAACAACAACAACAACAAAATTAAGTGTTCTTGATTTGTTTACAAGAACTGTTAGAAAAGGTGGCATCACTTTTCTTTGCTCTGGTTTGGTAGTCCCAGCCAGAAAGGGATGAAGGGTCAGTAGTTCTAGAACAATCCAGCTGGCTGATTTGACAGGAAGTGAAGGAGGGTGCTTGAACAACCATGTCTGTGGTTGTGGGGCTTTTCAAATCACGACTGAGGACAGAAGTCCTCCTTCTAGGCCAATCCCAAGATCTAGTGTTACCACAGAGCTTGAACCCTGGAGCCCTCAGAGTCTTGGCCTCTGGCCTACTTTCACTTCTCTAGGCTTCTGCTAATTACTCTCCTTTATGCCATTTATGTTCCAGCCAGCATCTTGTCTCAGATTCCTCTTGAATCTTTTGGGAACCCCTCAAGTCTGGAATTTTGGATGTGGGGAGGCTGTGTCAGTGAGGGAAGAGAGGAGTCAGTCCCCTTTGCTTTGGAAGGGGGCCTATAAGCTTGGAGGGAAAATGTGAGCTGTCCTATTTCTGGAAATCTCCAGAGAAAATGGAAGCCAAAACATCTTTTTAATAGCAGGAGGAAGTGTTACGTATCGTAAGAAATTGAGGTAACAATAAAATGTGTTCTAGCAACTTCCGTGTACTGAAAACTGCTACCTGACACTTTATAAATGTTATCTCATTTAACCCTCATAAGAAGACTTTAAGGTAGGTGATGTTAATCATATTTTCTGGATGGAGAAGTTGAGACTCAAACAGGCTGTCCAAGAATGCAAATTGGAGGCTCAAAGAAGAGAGAGCAATTTCTTTGAGCATGTTCAAGATGGGTTTCTGGAAGAGGTGGTATTTGAGCTGGGCCTTGTAAGATGGACAGAGGGACCATGTGGAGATGGTAGTGGCCTTCAGTGTTGATGTTTGAAGCCTGGTATTCAGGGCCTTGGACAGTCGGGCCTTTTTGAGTGAGGTTTCTTGCCAGTTCCTTGCTTTATGTTCCAACCACTTGGAACTAAGCAACATCCCTGAATATGCAGATGGGGGTATTTCAGGCGTCTGTGCGTCAGCCAACAGCAGTTCTTTTCCTTCACCTCTTTCCTCTCTCCCAGGAGCTTTCCTACATCCTCTCTTACCTGGGACCACATCTCCTAGTTTTGGATCTCCCCGGTCAGGACCCAACATGGCCAAGAGCTCACTAAATGATTAAATAGATGGGTGGAACGTGAGCCTTGGGAGAAGACAAGTGATGAGCAAAAAAAGTCTTTGTTGGCCTCCTGTCCTCCTTCCTGCCCCTTCTGGGGCAGAAAGGCTCATTCACAAGTCCAGGCCAAAGTCAGCACAAGCTTCAGTTTCATTGGCTACAACCGGTGCACAGATGGCGTACATTAGAGCTTGGTGATTTAAAGAGTTGGGTTAAATGCCTGGCTGTGGGGAGGGAATGAGGGAACTGTGGCTGGCACTGCACAAAGATTCCTTTATTTCACTCCACAGCCACCCCCGGCGTTAAATAATCTATAGATTCTTAGGCAGGTCCGCTTAACGGAAAGATCATTGCCCCAGCCCCCTCCTTGGAAAATGGGCCTTTCTTTTCATTCTGTTTCTCTCTTCCATTTAAGAAAGTTCAGGGAGAGAATGTTTCTCCTGTTCTCCCCTCTTGACATAATCTCCTATGTGGTTTCAGAATCTGCCCAGTGGGAGTTAGGAGCTGGGAAGCAGATAACTAGAGCAGCAGTGTAATTAAATGATACTTTGTACTTGTAATAGAGCCTTTCATCTGGAAGCCTGACATTCTGTTGTTTGGTTTAAAAAAAAAAAAAAATGTGAGTCTGACTTCATTATGGAGAAGGCAACACAAAGGTCCAGAGAACTAAAGCTCTGAGTCTATGGCTGGGGTAGAGAACTGGGAACAGAATCAGGACTTTGGGCTCCCATGGAAATGTGTAGTTGTAATGTTTTGAACAATTAGGGTCTCTACTGATGTGGTGGAAAGAATCCGGCACTAGCCTTTCTGCCTTCCCAGCTTGCTGTAAACCCCCAGAGGCCTCATTGCTTGGAATCAACTGTCCAACCTCTGAGTCTCAGTTTCTCACTAATAAAACGAGTGAAGTAATATTTGCTGCTGTGTGTAATGCCTAGTAGCTAGCACTTACTGTGTGCTTACTATGTGCCATCCCCATTACAGTCCTATGAGATAGGCATACCTTATTTGAAGGTAGAGTGAGGAGGTTTACCTCACTGGGTTGTTATGAGACTGGATGAGATCATGGGTGTGTGTGGGTGGTTGGCAAATCACAAAGCTCCTCTGCAAATATAAAGTAGCCCCTTTGCTCCTTTTGGTTTTGCTGTCCAAAGGGGGTCTGGGGGGTGGTGAAGGGGATTGTGCTTGCCTGATACCAAGCAAATTTAGTCTAGCCAAGATGGTTTCATTTTAGAACCTGGAGTCCAGGAGTTGGATTTCTCAAAAGGCCATAGAAGCAAAGTTGTGTGTGTCTGCACAAAGGTAACAGAGTATTTTCTCTGTAGGATGGCAGTAGGGGTCCTCTCTGAATTGATGACGGAACTATCTAGGGAATGTGCTGACACATCCTATATTTTCTTTCTTAGGGGGTGTTGTGGTCTAAATGCTGGAGTGTTTGCATGTGGAGGTATTTTAAGTTGGCACGAGGAATTGCTCACATTGTTGTTTCTCACTTAATGGTGCAAGCCCTATTATAAAAATATACTTTGGTTTTAAATAATAATAGTTTCAGTTGGTACAGCTAGTTGCCCCAAGTGAGGACAATCTAATATTCATTTCACTTCCTTCACCTCCCTCCTGTGGACCCATCACCCTTTAATGGCATTGTGGAATAGGCTATTTGGGAATGGTGAACAGGATTAATCTCTCACGAACTCTCTTTGGGGATGGTAGCCTCATTCCAAGACAGTTTGCTGTAGTATTCTGGGACCTTGGAGGGAAGATGTTGTGGGAGGCTGTAGAGTCAGTGTCCAGTCCAGGGGGAAGGCAGAAATCTTTCCCTCACCATCTAGAGCTATAGAAGTTATTGCTATGTGTCAGATCTTCGGGTCAGATTATCTCCTGGTGACAAATAAAAAATTCCCAGAATTGCTGGTCATCTAGCCCAGCCTCTCTTTGTGAGGAAACAGGCCACGGGCAGCTCAGTGACTGGCCTGAGGTTCCACAGCCTCAGAGCCAGACCTCTCCATTGCATTCCCCCTCAACTGTGCTCTGTGGGAGGAGCTCTGGCCGTTTTCAAGCACCAGGCCTCCTTCTGAGGCTGGGAGCTTTTAGGAGGACGGTTCTTTTGGTTCCCTATCGGGCTCCATTGGGCTTAACAGTAGTAGCATTTTGGTTTTCCCTGCCTGCCTTAGATGTAAGATGTAGCATTGCTCTGAGAGAAGTGGCAGGGAGGAAGATGTTCTGAAGCCGTGTATTGGTCTCATGGCTACCGAGGGGCCCACTCTGCCTGCCATTTTCCACCTCTGCTTTTTTTTTTTTTTTTAAGATTTTATTTATTTATTTGAGAGACAGTGCGTAAATGAGAGAGAGAGAGAGCGCACTCACAAGCTGGAGGAAGGGCAGAGGGAGAGGGAGAAGCAGGCTCCCTGCCTAGTGGAGAGCTCGTGGCAGGGCTCGTGGCGGGGCTCGTGGCAGGGCTCGATCCCAGAACCCTACACCCAAGGCAGCTGCTTAACTGACTGAACCACCCAGGCCCTCCATCTGTGCTTTGAGCACTAGTGTTCCACACCAGTGATTCTCAGAAAGACTTGTACCCCTAACACAGAGGCTTGGAGGTAGTGGACGTGGAGGGGTGCTGGTATGGAGGTACAGAGATCTGTCCTTTTCACTCTACTCATCTGTTTCTCTTAATTTATATCACTCACCAGCTTATTTTTAAAGTATAATAAATATCCTGGAAAATTGATGTAAAAAATAAATACAAGAATAGAATACTTAAAAAGCCAGTCATTCCTTTTTCTTTAAGCGTCTTGAAAATGTTACAGTGATGTTTGGATTGTATGTAGTAGTACTGATGACTGGTGTGTCACATCAAGTAGCATAATTCATGAAGAATATGGACAAGGGAAGTGTGGCTCTTGAAGATCATCCTGAGCTTTTCTAACTTGTAAACTGTATGTTGAATTCTAATTTTATGAACTGAGAGATTTCTGGTAGCCAATGGATATGTGACAATGACTTTTTACAGAAACTGTAATTCAATAAAATTATTTCTATTGAATTACTAGGAGGAAAACTAGATTGTATATAGACCTGTAAATGTCTATATCATAAAAAGTGAAAATTTTGTTTCTGAAATAGTAGGACCTATGATTGTACCAGAGTGACTGATGGGTTTTAAGAAAAATGAGGTTGAGAACAACCGTGCTGGTAGGACCCACATCATAGTGTGTGTCTTTGCTTCTATGTTTGTAAAACATTGTTGAATGTTTGTTGGTTTACTAAAGAGCATTTCTGAGATACAGCAAAGGCAGAAGTGATAAATTATGGAAGAGTTCCAAAGTAAGCCAATAAGCCCCATTTAAAAACACATTCAATCAGTGTTTTTTTTTTTTGTTTTTTGTTTTTTGCTTTTTAAGTAGGCTCCACACTCAGCGTGGAGCCCCACATGGGGCTTGAACTCAGGACCCTGAGATCAAGACCTGAGCTGAGATCAAGAGTCCGGACACTTAACCAACCGGCCCACCCAGGCTCCCCCACATTCAATCAATTTAGCTTTTATAAAGAAAATTACATATCTAACCTAAAATTACTGACTTCTTTTCCCCAACTATCTGACCTTTGAAAGCCCTAATCTTCTAATGAAGTGTTATTTCTGGAGGAGGGTAAAAGGGTTATCTGTTGGTCCCTCGGGAAGGGGTGATAGGTGAACCAAGTCTATACAGAAAATCTGCAAACAAAGGGATATGGTTAGATGACAGTGTTCCTTGATGAAAAGGAACCATTTGGAGCTTGTAAGATGTAATATCTTATGCTATCTTCTCTCCATGGGGACAGAGATTGAATTACTTCAGGGTGAGATAAACCATAAATTAGGCTGGGATAATTTGTTTGTATAGCATGATTGTTCGAACATGGGACCACCTTATCTGGATCTCAGAGGCCTCTGGCATATGTGGGTAATGGCAGTGGGCACTGTGCCTATATGTGCTGTTTTGTCTCATTGGCTCTGACCTGTCATTGCCCATATTACTAAATATGTACTCTCTCTGTGTGTGTGTGTGTGTGTGTGTGTGTGTGTGTGTGTGTGTGTGTATAGCACTCTAGTAAGTATTAGAATATTACCCTCAAGGATTTTATCCTCAAGGAACTTGGACTCTAGCTGGGAGATAGTAGCTTCCTAAGTCATCCCTTCTTGAAGTTTGTATTTCACCTCCTGTTTATCTTGGAGCAGTTATCACGGTGTAACATGTCTCCATTAGCTTGTGAACTGCTTGAGGAGATAATTATGATACCATCTTTGTTTCTCTAGCACTCCACACAGCTCCTAAAGACTGCTGTAGATTTTCAGTGAATATACGAGTGAATGACTGTTAGTACTGTAAACTGGGGAGATAGATATAGAGGCTCTTAACTTGGGGTCCATGGACTGGCTTCAAGGGATCCTTGAAATTCTATGTTTTATTCTATGTATAGTCTGTTTTTCAAGGGAGGGTACCATAGCCGCCTTCAGGTTCTCAAAAGGTTGATCAAAACCTTAAGATCCACCTGGGAAGACTTGGTAGAGTGTTTTTGAGATGTGCCTTGAAGCCAGAACTGAGACATGTAGAAATGGATGGGGAGGGGCCCGTAAAAAGAACAGTATGAACAACAAAGTGGAGGCAGGAAGCATGTGGGGAGCAGCCCATTCTTTTAGGTTTGATATTGAGGAGCTGTGTGAAAACAGATCGAAGGAGTAGGTTGAAGCCAGATTGTTGGAAGAATCCAAGTCCTGACGTTATATTGCTGGCAGTTGGGTGCTTCTGAAACTTCTGAGCAAGTAGTGACACGACCAGAGCTTTGCTTTGAGATGGCAAATGTTGTTGTGGTGTGGTTGGCAGAACTGCTGAAGGGAGACTGGAGATGGAAGAACCAGGGTGTAAGCGTTGCAGTGGCCTGTGGATATTTGGGGCACATGATGGTTGTTCAGTGAAGATTTGTTGAGCATTGCTTAAGGAAGAAATACAAGCATTCTAAGGGTTGAAAAAATTCTGTAATATGTAGTTACAAATAAGAGGAATTGAGTTCAGAAGGTCACACTCTTTGGATGGGAGGCAGACCTGTCCCATAGTCATGCCTGCTCCCTGTGAAAATTACTGATGGTAGGCACAAGTAGAATCGCTCACCCATTTCTTATCAGAGGAGCTGCTAGGGACCAAGTCTGGTGAATCATCTGTGTTTTTTGCTGCAGACTACAGGCAGCTGGAACATGAATCTGCTCAAATGTGATCCTTTCTATGTGGTTGCTTTAAATACCAAAAGGAAATGTTGACTTGAGCTATGAGGCGTACCCTGAAAATTAACTCCGTGGTTTGCAAATGCCTATAAGGTTCCAATCATAAGATTGGTTTGTACATTAGTGTCTTGGCATTCAGTAAGGATGCTGATGATTGCCAAGCTTGTGCACTTACTCAAAATCCAAAGAAACTCTTTTCAACGGGGTGTCTTCCCCAGAAACAAGCAGTAGGTGCAGGACCCTCTGCAGGACCTTCCCCCTGTGTTTTTGAGCACTGGCACTTGGTCTGTCTCTGGAATGGTAAAGCTGTACCATTGCTGGTTCAGCTGTTTTGTTTTTTTAGGGCCGAACAGAATCCACCATCATATTCAGATTGTTCAGTTCAATAATATTTTTTTAAAGATTTTATTTATTTGAGAGAGAGAGAGTGAGAGAGAGAGAGCACGAGAGGGAAGAGGGTCAGAGGAAGAAGCAGACTCCCTGCTGAGCAGGGAGCCCGATGTGGGACTTGATCCTGGGACTCCAGAATCATGACCTGAGCCGAAGGCAGTTGCCCAACCAACTGAGCCACCCAGGCGCCCAATAGTATTTTTTTATTTCAAACAACATGCCAGGCTCTATGCCGAGTGCTAGGGTTAGAGAGACGAAGTTACCATGATTCCTGTACTTAGCCTGTTATCTTTGGGGTGCATGGGAATGTAATGCTCACTGTGGGGGACAGAAGAATGTTTACAGATGTGGTTGTGTTGGTGCCCTAAAAAACACAGGATGAAAAATGTACATCGCTGCTTAACTACTATTTATCGAACGTCTGCTATGTGCTAGGGATTCCTTTTACTCCATCACTTAATTTTACAACATCCCTTTAAGGTGGGAATTAAGTGACTTGCCTAAGGTCATAGGTTACCAAGAAGCTGTGTGGAATACAGATCTAGGTAGTTCTATGCCTTCTTTACCATAGCTTGACAGTCATACCTAGGTAGCTCCTTTTGGCATCAACTATTTTCTCCCCCCCCCCTTTTTTTTTAGATTTTTTTTTTTTTCTTTTCCGGGACTCGATCCCCCATCACCTGAGCCGAAGGCAGATGCTCAACCAACTGAGCCACCCAGGTGCCCCATTTTTTTTTTATAGGGAGAGTGAGCGAGCACATGCATGGCGGTGGGGAGGGACAGAGGAAGAGGGAGAGAGAATCCCAAATAGCCTGATTTGAGACTCGATTTCAGGAGCATGAGATCATGACCCAAGCAGAAACCAAGAGTCAGACGCTTAGCCGCCCGCGCCCCCCAGGCACCCCAGCATCAACTGTTTTCTGGTCTCTCAGTAGTGTTGGTGGTAAATCCTACCCTGTCTGCCCTCCTATCATTTCCCTTGCCTGAAGAGTCCTTCTTGCTTTCTTTCTATTTACTTTCTACCCATTCCTGAAGACTAGTTTTAAGTATTTTCTACGATTCTCTCCCTCCGTTGAACTCCTATGGAAGTTCACTGCCTGGTTGTTCACTTGGCAATTAATAATGACTGTCTTATAATAACATGGTCTGTGTTATTGTGGTTACCTGCACTTTTTACACATAATTGTCTTGCCTCCTAATACGATTCTGAATGACCTGGAGTTAAAGACTCTTTCAGAACGTTAGAGCTAGAGGGGCCTTTGAACCTGGATTTTTCTACTTCAGCTCCTCATTTTACAGATTAGGAAACCAACGCCCAGAGAAACTGAGTGCCTCTTGACTTTGTACTTTGCCACCTCCTCTCTGCCACACCACCTACTGCCTCACACATAACTGGTGCTTGTAAATGCTGGAGGCAGGCCTGGAGGAGAGGGCTGACAGGGGTAGAACGAAAGTATCAAGCTGTATGATCTTGGGCAAGACTGTTCTTTTTGGCTTTCCTTTTTCTTCAGCCACCAGATGAGGCATTAGATCAGACTGTCATTAAAGTAAGTGTCCTTCCACCTCTCCCATCTTCCGTTCTAATATAGCAGCAGCAGATGATACAAGGCAACATAACTCAGCGGGATTACAATGTAATCTCAGAGCAAGACTACCTGGGTTCAAATCCTGACTTCCTCACTTAGTAGTTAGGCAAGCTGAGTCATCTCTGTGTCTTAATGCCCTCATTGGGAAAATGGGAATAATAATACTAGATACCTATAAGATTTTTGAGGAAATTAGCTGAGGTCATCAATATATAGTACTTCTCACAGTGCCTGACATAATAGGAAATGCTCCATGAAGGTCGGTAGTTGTTACCTCTGACTATTCATTAAGCAAAACCAAAGTAGCAAACATAACCAGATGCTGGCTCCCCAGCTGTCCTGGCTTATTGGCTCCTTCCTTCTTTCTGAGTCTCAGCTATTACCTGTTAGCTATACCCTTGTTAGTGGTCCTCTGAGACCTCTAGAATCATTGAATCTCTTGTTCCTTGTCATTCGGAAGGGACCAGCAGGTCTCTGGTGATAATGAAATAAGAGCAATAGCCTCCGCTCTCCCGACAGTGGTGGGGTTGGGCTTCCCTGCAAGCAGCCCTGAGGCCGCTTTCAAATTTAAATGGAAAAATCTGCCCCTGAGCCCTTCCCTTCTAGTCTGTCAGGTAGTGATTTTTCCTCTACCCTACACAGCCACCAGGCACAGAGACTTCAAACTGCTCTAATAGTAGCCCAGGCAGCCTTGGGTGTTGGCGCCATAGCCAGAGAATTGCTTGTCAGTTTGGTTCACCCCGTGATGCTTCCTGGTGGGGATGGATGGAGGGAGGTTCTTTAGAAGGAAGCCATTTTCATTATTTTTAAAAAAACAAAGCCCAAAAAGAATCTCTGATACTTTTGATTCCAAAGCACTCAGCTAGCTCCCAAAGCAGGAAGGGTTTGACCTTGTGACCCAGAGTATTGTCTTTGGGGTCAGGGCTGCCAAGCCAAGGAGAGCTTTAGCTCTGGGTTTCCCTCCCCTCCCTTGCCTATTGCTGGTGGCTGGACTGTGACTCAGGGGCAGAGGGGGGAGGAGAGGAAGAGAGGAGGAGATGGCTCCACCAGCTGCTGCTAAAAACAACAACATCTAATCAGTCCATGAACTCCCTCCCCTCCAGACCACAGTGATGTTAAGAGGCAGAGCAGGTGGCACTGGCTCTCCCCTCCCCCCTGCCCTCCAACACCTTTGGGACTTTGAAGGGACAGCTTATGTTGTCAAAAGGAACATGATCTAACTGGGGGACCAGGAAACTCCTTTTCCTCCCTGTTTGGGCTGGTCCCACCAATAGCATTTGCTGTAACTTGAACTCTCCAACAGATACATGAGTGGACAGAAAAGTTTTTCCTTGCCAAAATGAAAGATCCCAGAGTGAAACCTCCTGCATTAGACTCCACCATTGTTCCACGTTTTGTGAACTCCTCTTATGTGTTAGATATTGGGGAACACAGTGGCAAACAGGTGTATGCTCTGCCCTCGCCCAGTTTGTGCCTGGTACTTCGGTCACTGGAAAGCCCATTATCTGAAGAAGCAGCTGGTGGCACTAGAAGTGGGGATCCCCATCCTGAACCTGGTCCCCAGGGCCCTCCGCGGCAGCTGAGAAACCAACATTTCCACAGTGCTTTCCATCCCATTGGCCTGATTTTCATGAGCTTCCCACCTGTGCACAGCTTTTCCCCTGAATGTCCCAGTCCTTCACTGCAGTGTCAACCTGGGCTATCCCAGCCGAGTGAAAGTACCAGCGAGGCTCTTGAAGTTCAAGGTGACCAGTGAATTAGACCCGCTGTTCTCTGATGTGGGTTTGGAGGAATGTCTGTTCTCAGGAACAGGCCTCTAACCCTTGGGTGGTGGTTGCTTTGTTTACTTCTGAAAGCTGCACGGTTTTGCCCTCAGCCCCTCCCCTCTAAATGCAGAATGTTCCAAATGACAGGTGGGGCTCTGGAGAGCCCTTTCAGGTTGCCCCCAGACAGATTCACCCAGGCAACTGAAGGAGAAAAGAAGCAGGAGAAACCCGACTTACTGGAGCTCCTTAAGCTCCAAGTCCCCATATTTCTTGATCCCCTCTTCAGGAGGAGAAAGAAAAGGCAAAGTATATATCTGTGGGGGAGGAAAGCTCCTCCCTGTCTGTCTCCTTCTCTGTAAAAACAACAGGCCAGTCTGCCCTGGGCACTGTGGGGGCAGGTGCTGGGTAAATACACAAGGAAGGAAAGCCGATAAGATAAGGTCTGACAAATCTAGGTCACCAGGCTGCTGCCAGGCACCTGTGTGACTGGTCACCTTGAAACTGACAGGAGGGAGGATGGACTTCCGTTCCGGGGCACAGACAGGCTCACTTCCCAGGCCTTTGTTTTATGTCTTTATTTAATAAACACTTGTTGAGCGCCACTATATCCCAGGCTACGGGCTAGGTGTTTCAAGCCCCTGTGTGTGTCTGTCAGGCAAAAATCTCCTCCTGGATCCCAGGCCTGTAACCAGTGCTAAAAAAAGAAATGACATCATGCAAAAGCCAGTTGGTCCACTAACTTCTAGGATAGGGGCAACCAGTCTCATGGTAGAAGGGAGGGGCACTTTGGCGTCTTCGTTCCCTCTGCCTTCAGCTAAATCAGGGGTCGGCAAACTTTTCTGTGAAGGCCTGATAGTAAGTATTTTAGGCTTTGCTGGCCATATGGTCTTAAACCCCCAACTCAGCAGCCGTAGAGAATACATAAACGAGCATGGCTGTATTCCAGTGAAACACGTATGAAACAGGTGAGAGGCTCAGTTGGGCCCTTGTGCATTATTTGCTGTTTCCCAGGCTACAAAACGTGAAGTGAATGTTGGAGAAATGGGTTTATGTGATTTCAGGAGGATTCTAAAACCAACACGGTGGTTACAGTTGGTATGGATGGTGTAGAAGCTGATGTACTGTGTTCATCGACTAGCCCCACTTGACACTCTGGTGTCAGTTAGCTCTCAGGCCAAACTTCAGCCTCAACCATCAAGCACCCCAGGTTCCCACCAAAGGTTACGAGGTGACTAAGCCAGATGATGCACATAGTTTCACACAGTCTCATCTGTGTGAAACATCTCATGGGGAAACCGTGTGGGGCCCTGCATACAGCAGTCCTTGGAATCATTTTAAAAGCCCTGAATGAAGGGTTAAGCCACCTGTGCTTGAGGCCTGGCTCTGCCACTAACTCTTCAGTGTGGCATCGAGTGAGTTATGTAAGCTCCTGCCCATTCAGCACGTATTGAACACTACTGTATGAGGCATTGAGGAAACAGCAATGGATACATGAAAATGTTTGCCCTTAAGTAGCTTATGATCTAGTGGGGAAGACAAACAGATAAATGATTATAAGATGTAGTGAAACACAGGCTTTTTGAGGAGGTGATTGTTCATTCAGGATGCTATAGGGCAAATAGCAGGATGAGTTTTTTCTAAGTGAACAACAAAAAGGGGGGTTCATTCTGAGCAGAGGCAGAGAAACAGCCTAGAGGAGATCAAGCT